CAGTTGTTGTTGACTAGGATGTGGTATTTGCACATCCTTTCATCAACATATGCCTTTTGTTATCGTACACTCACTCCTTCGTTCACTCACTCGCTAACTGCCACACTCACTTGAAAACATCATTAGACTTAGCGCAACCGCCTAATTCTAACAAAATCTCTGTATGATTGATGGTATTTTCGCACGCTAATATTTTATGGCAGACGAAATGTAGCGGCATCGTATACAAGAAAAAGAAAGCGGATTGTGTGATTGTACTTCAAAGAACACTAGCCGTAGAATGTCGAGACTACCAGGACGGTGTGCTTAAGGTCATCAAACAAATGAGTTATCGTATGTACGCGCGATATCTGCTTTGTTTATATTTGTTGTAAAGAAAACAACACATGGCTTTGGCTTGAACGCCATTTTTTGACACAAGATGTCTGCAATAATACAATTACAATTGTTTTGGGGGCGGGAGTGTGAGGCGTGCGGCAACGCACAACAGGCGGGTTTTCTTGAGATACTTATGGTCATTTATAACAGTTTTTTTTTTTTAGCTCAGACAGAGAGCTTTACGCCCCTTTTCAATGGCGTCAGAGTTCCCATAGGGAGTTTTTTTTTATTAAACTTCAAAGCTTTGACTTAATCTTGTAATTCCTAATTGTATGTAGTCAGTATGTAGAATTATTTAGGCAGAAAACTGTGGCGTATGAAATACATATGTAGTTAGTGAGTTCATAGAGCGAAGAAATGCATGGTCTTAAGAAGAAAAACTTGCAAAATATTTCGAATGAGTACTAAAAGCACAATAATGCAAATGAAGACTGGTATAAACTGTTCAAAACGTAAAAAGTTATGGTAAAGTTGAGTTGAGTTGAGAAACTGGTTGAAAGGAAAACTGGTATAAACTGGTATAAAAATAAAATGTTATGGTAAAGTTGACACATGCCAAACAGTTGAAATAAGTTCACACAGCGAAAACTTCTTGAATGGAAAACTGGTATAAACATGTATTACATGCATACATGTATTATAAACTGGTATTACATGCATACATGCGAAATACGTGAAATTAGTACAGAAAGCAAAAACTGCATAAAAATGAAACTGGTATAAACTGGTGTAAAAAATTAAATGCTAGAGAACTGAACAGATAAGTTGGAAATTATGAAGTAGCACGTTTTTTTTGAAAATTGGTACAAAGCTGGACTCAGCCGGCAGCAAAAGGATATGCTTTGTGGTTTTATTTTGCAAAGAAAAATGTATTTAGAATCCAATACATACGGAAAAATCATAAAAAAAAACTGCATACAAATAAAACTAGTATAAGCTAGTCTAAAGTATAAAACGCAAAAAAGTAAAAAATAACTTCAAGAGCTCGAAACTGGTGCCAAAATTCTGCTATAAACTAAAAAAGCGTAAAAAATTAAATTCAAGGCATATGAAATTTAACACTGATAGACGAGTTTATTTGCCTATTGAAAACAAAAGCACATGTATATATCATGCATACGTATGTATCTCCAAAGAAAAACAATTGCTTAGTGGTCTAAGTTCCTTGTTGCTGTTTTTTCGTTCGGTAACAAAAACGCGGAAAATCGCTCTTACCCATAATCATATACACTTTTATTTATCATTTTGTATGCTAAAGTAATAAACAATTTGTTTTGATGCTTGTAAGTGGGTGTGCAGGCATTTGTTTGATACGCTATATTGATTTGGCTTACCTACGCAGACATTTACATACATACATATACATTTACATATGTATTTAAATGTATACTTAACAGCGCTTGAACACAATTTTTGGTCGAAGACATGCCAAGCCATGCGTGTTAAAGCTAAAAATCGAAGAAAAATCGACAGGTAGCGAGCGTTTATCCTACGCGATAGTATTCGTTACAAATGCATACAAATCACCAGAGAAGAAAAGAACAAACAAATCACAATTTGATTGTATGTATGATAATACAAAATGTGTTGATGTTACAAGCAGCAATGCCGCGAGAGTCTTACAAGCGTACGCTAAAACCCTTGAGTGCGAAAGAAATGCTCACATACACATGGACGCTTACGCAACTCCACAAAATAAATGTACATATACAAAACGGTGGTGGTGCTGGTCGTGGTCTTGGTGCTGGTCCTAGATGCTTAACTGCTGATATGGTTAATGCAAAGGCCATCCCCCTATTTGAGCTCTCACACACCTCCGCTCCCACTTAGCCACCACAATATGCTTACATACCAAGCAAGGTACACACTTAGGCGTTAGTTAAATTTCGACACATCCTTGCTGCCGGCTAAACTAACTATCGCCATCCGGGCTTCGATATTTTTTTTCATCCCAACGGCCTCAAGCAAATCGCCTAAATAGATTGCTTGTAATTGATAAAGAGTTTTTCGGCCATACTAAATGTAAAAGCTTGAGTGCGCCTAAAAGTAGATAGCAATATTCATTTGTGTATTTCCTTAATTTAAGAATGAGTTTGGCAGCACTCTTTCTCTCTGTCCCTTAAAATTCTTGGTCGTAATATTTAACGCCTCAAACGCATACGCATAAGAAAACAATTGCAAAACAAGTGACGCATACAACTATTAACCATTGTAGGCAATCCATGTACAAGTGATTGAACAAGCCTTAATTTATCACTACAGCGCTGTATGTTTGTGCAAGTGAAGAATATTTCTTACTTTTTCTGTGCCTCTGTCAGGATTAAATGTGAAATATCGACATTTGATTTGCCAGTACTGCTGCTTGCAGCGAGCCTCACACTAAGCTGATTAAAATGCAATGCCAATTAGTACGCAAGCAGCCGCACGTACATACATACATACATACATACATACATATGTACATGTGTAGTTGTTCGGTGATGCGAGTTGGTAAAAGGTTTGAGATGAAATTGATTTTCTGGCATGCGTAAATTTCGTTTCAATGTAAGCCCATGAGCTGTGGGATAAGGGTATTCTATGGCAGCGAAAGGTCAAAACATTTTTCTTTGATGACAGTGTAAATTTGAGGATTTGAGTGTGTAATGGCAGCATTTAAGACGAATGGAGAGAAAAAAAATGTACCAAATTGTCAAAATAGGTTCGGAAGGGAAAAATCTGAGTGTAAAAAAAAACTGGTATAAAAAAGAGAAAGACGTGGAGGTTAAGACATATGTATGTTGTAAAGCAAGAGACGGGTATATATATTGCAAAGTAAACGAGCTTTTGAAAACTGGTATAAAGTTGGAGGAAAGACTAGTAAGTGTTTAAAATCGATTTCTTGTACTCCAATATAAAACAAGTAAGAAAGTCTAAGTTCGGGCGGAGCCGAACATTAAATACCCGGCGCAAGTATTAAATATATGTTTTCCACCTTTCCGAAAGCTACCGCTACATGATAAGCCGGG